GAGAAAGTGAAAAATAAACGTTATTTATTAATTTATATTAAGTGATAAAATTTAATAAAAGCCTGCAAGAAATAAACTCTTAGGCTGTTCTTGTGAACATGTAAGTTTGCTAAACTGTTTTAGAGGTATTCATTATTTTGTTATTTTATTTATAATAAGTAATGACAAAATTTTAAAAATATCAGATGTGTAAATGTAAAAAAAAGCAAAATCTTCCCATAGCTAAATAAATTTGAATTTGAATATGAAGCAAGATACATAATTATAGTTTAGTATAATTAAGATACGAACATAAAGTCCAGTTCGTAATATGCGAAACGTCCATAAGTACTGTATTTACTAACACTTACATAACAGCAATCTGATCCTTTTCCAACATTGGTGTTTCTTTGACATTACAGTTTATTACAGAAGCCTCGACGTGTATTCGCGAGGCCACTGAAAGAAAAACATAAGGTAAACTACAAAAGTAAAGGAAGCATTATAAATGACATTTCAAATACGCTACGTTTTCATTATACTCAAATGAGATAAAATAGAAATAAAAACATTATTCTAAAAGGCCTGCTTTGTACAGATTTGTTTGTTGCGTTGCTACAGAAGAAAAGGGAGTCAATAATTACAGATATTGAATGCATGGGAAACAATGTATAGATCGAGAAAGTATTCCGGAACTAATATGAACTAAGATAAAATATTCAGGAACTGAGGATATTCAACGGAACTAAAATAAAATATTCAGGAACTAAGGATATTCAACGGAACTAAAATAAAATATTCAGGAACTGAGAATATTCAACGGAACTAAGATAAAATATTCAGGAACTGAGAGTTATTAAAAAGTCAAGGATATTCAGGAAACAAAATTAAGAGAGTATTGTTAAATAAAAAATAATTTCATTGCCTGAATTACAGTGAGTATCAACTAATTGCAGATGCACTGAAGGGAGAATTATAAATAAATGAGTAAAATTAGTTATTGAGTTATATATCAGATGAGGTTCCTGATTATGAGAAACTCAAACGATGATTTTGTCATTAATTAAGTTCCGCATTTCGAAGGAACACTTAATCATTACGTCATCATTATACACAGCTATAGCTATATATACATATATATATATATATATATGTACAGGGGTTGGGAAAAATAATATAAACACCTATCAATTTCCTCATTTTATTTATTAATATTAAGTTAGTTATTGTATTTTCTTAGTGTAAAGGTACACAATGGGTTAGCTACGCTCTCCATCACGGGAATCGAGCCGCGGATTTTAGCGATGTAAACCCGTATTCTTATCGCTGACACATCGAGGGATCTGGAGTTGGTCCAAAATGAGCAGACATTAAGGCATTAATTCAATATGGAATTGATGAAATATGGGGTTATGTTTCAGAAAACGATATTTATGGCCTTTTGTTGACTAAAGCTTTTTTTTTAATACTTGAAATATTGTCGGTCACATAAATCTGCTTCGAAACTTGGTTTCAAGAACTTACCAAAGACACTTCATAACAATTAATCTTGGGGACCGTTGTTACCCAGTTAAGTGTCCAAATCCCTCTTGGTTTCAAGAACTTACCAAAGAGGCTTCATAACAATTAATCTTGGGGACCGTTGTTACCCAGTTAAGTGTCCAAATTCCTCTCACGTTCTCTTAACCAATCTTTAACACTTTCAGCATATGAATTCCTGTATTGTCTTTTCGAAAAAGACCAGCTCCGTTTGAGAATAAAGCGTTCACCATAGGGCCAAACTGGCCTGATAAAAGGTTTAAGCCCATGCTATCATAGAGCGTCCACCATGCTTATCTGATGGGCTACTTCTTCATTTTTTGCACATTAAAACGTCCATTTGATGGGAAAATGTGAAAACAACAACAGCATATTATCTGACCAAACCACGTTCTTCCGTTGATCTTCAGTCCAGGGTTAATGTTCTTGGCATAATTTTACTCAGATTTATTTTCCATTTTCTGGTATTGTTAGAGATTTATAAATGATAAACCTACTATGGTATTCCATCTCGTGTAGTTTCTTGCGAGTTGTTTTTACTGAGATTGGTTGTTGTAGGTTAACTTTAATTTTTGAACACACTTTAGGTGTTGTAGTCTTTTGTTTTCGTTTCGCTCACTACTTGTTTTAATACTAGTCTGTTACGATCTGTCTAGTTACTTTTACCATCAATATACGTTTGTCTGACGACATTTAATTTTTCAATATCCATGATGACATATTATTGTTTTTCTGAAAAATCTTCTAAATAAGTTCCAAGCTAGAAAGGTCTGTCACATGTACAAAAAGACATGATTGAAAGTGAGCGTCTAGCTGAATTCTCAGTAATAAGAATACTTTAAAGTAATGAATGTATCTCGAGGTTAAGTACCAAAAGTGACACTCGTAAACAGATAAATTCAATGAGAAGGAATAATTTAACGCACGTCTCTTACTATATTGGTCACACCTTAAAGACAAAAACAGAACAAATTTCGAATTAAAAAGTTTAGGTGTTTCCATTATTTTGTCCAATCCCTGTAATTGGGTTAATGCATAAACGTCTGAAAAAGTAAGAATTAATTATTTCTAATTGTAATTTAATTGGATAATATAGAGTAAAATATTTATGAGAGTATCTACAAATATTCTACAAAGCGTAATTACCTTTTTGTGCTACTTTATTTACTTCTTCTTGTAAACAAGATGATGGAACGCAGATGCCAACTCGATATGACAGGAAGTAGAAGAAATTAATATTGTTTGTTAATTCATGGAAAAACTGAAATAAAAGATAATGTATTTACTTACAAGCAACAGACATTTTAGAGTATAGTTTAATCTCAAATTATTAAAAAAATAAACGGGAATTACAATTCCTGTTTTGAAAATTGTTACTGGACTGATATAAGATAATCTTGAAATGTCATATTCATGAAGACTAGTCGTAATCCATTAGATATAACGTGGCATCAAATACTTTCTGAACAACTGACAGACATTAACATATTATATATATATATTAAATACACCAAGTAGACTTGTTGTCATATTTGTCTCCTGTGGAATAGCGGTAACTTTACGGACTTACAACGCTAAAGTCCGAGACTCGATTCTCCGCCGTGGGCACAGCAGATAGCCCAATGTGGCTTTGCTCTAAAAGAAACAAACTTGAACTTAACACATTTTCAGAGCGATAAAAAGTAATTTGCTATACTAAGCTTAAATTAAATATTGATTTTACTGAAAACGTTTCACGAAATTCTCTAAACTGTATTATTATTATTATAATATTAATTATACGCATAACTGTCCTTACCTTGTCAGAAGATGTGAAATTATCAAATAATGGCAATATTTTCTGGAAGATTCGAGGACGTGGTGGCATCAGAGGTTTAAATTCAATCGAACAGTACTTTCCACGAAAAGATAGGTTTGAAGTGTTGACGTTGATGTTTAAGCACTGGTCAAAGTCTCCCAGCGCACTTAATGATCCCCTCAATATTCCACTTGGAATCTTCCCTGTTGCGTCCATCACTGTATGAATGAGAATTTGTTGTTGTTTTCTTTAGAATTCACAGAAAATATAATTCGTTACCTTGTTTGTTTTAGATCAAAACCATGTACATGTGGGCTATCTTCTGTATCCACCACGAGGAATCGAACCCCGAAAATTAGCGTTATAAGTCTATAAAATTACCGCTTTCCCTCCGAGAAAAATTTCGTTAGAAAAAACAGGTACAGTGCTAGAGTTTGATTACCATAGTTATTGTGTTTTGACATAGAAGCTGTAGCACATAAAAGTCATTCGTTCTTTCCTCGGAAACTAAAATATTCTGATGAAGAGAAGAATGTTAAGAAATAACATTGACCTTTTTCTAAATTAGGCGAATGATAGAAAGTTGTCTTTTCCATTACAAGATACTGAGATATTAAAACATTTCGGTGTTTTTTACACTAAATTCTATCAACTTGTTCTATATTTTAACGAGTGTATTGGTTTGTTTTGAATTTCGCTAACCGTCCCTAATTTAGCAGTGAAAGACCAGAGGGAAGGCAGCTAGTCATCACCACACACCGCCAATTCTTGGGCTACTCTTTTACCAGCGAATAGTGTCACATTGTAACGCCCCCACGACATGTTTGGTGAGACGGGGATTCGAACCCGCGACCCTCAGAACAAACTGTACACACGAGTACAAATTAATCACCACCTTATGTTCCATTTAAAATTATGATTTTTATTAACAAAGATAAGTGTTGAATGTAATTTATATCAATTACATTGAATGTAATTACATAAAACAATCAGGTTGTGTTAGTCATCTACAGAAGTAAAAACATTAGTAGTTTGAGAAGGAGAAAATATAGTCTTTTACGCATGCGCTACGCTCTGATTTTGAATTGAATTTTACTATTTTCAAATTTACATTCAAAATTGCCCACCCCCCAATGGCACAGCGGTATGTCTGCGGAGTTAGAACGCTAGAATCCTGGTTTCGATACCCGTAGTGGGCAGAGCACAGATAGCCCATTGTGTAGCTTTGTGCTTAATTACAAACATTCAAAATTAAATAATTTTATACTTCCGATACTCTTTCTGTTATTTTCATAATTTTTCTCAAATAGTAGAAATTCTTTTTGGGCTTGTCCTGTTAAAGAGTCCTCTGGTTGGTCAGCATTAAGTTTACAGACTTACGTCGCTAAAACTTTGGACTCGATTTACCGCCGTGGATAGGGCACAAGTAGCCTATTGTATGATTTTCCGTTAAAAACAAGAAAAACAGGACAATATCATACTCACAAATATTAGTATTACTAAATATTCACTATTATCATTTATGTTATAATCTAAGAGTGTTTTCTAACGTAATACGAAATGTCTAGTTTATTACATTAAATATTTGATAACTCTATTCTGCTACATAAGCCTAATAATCCTTATTATTGTTGTGAAATACATCATTATTAATCAACAACTCTGTTAATCTAGAAAAAATGTATTTCAGACTTTAAAGTGTTCAACTTTCGACTAAAAACAAAACATATAATTATTACGTGTACGTGCTCCACGGCATTTAAAAAAAACCTCTAGTTAACAATGTTTACATAAATTTGTTATTTTTAATACATTTTTTTTGTGTGTTTACCATATATAGTTATAGATTGTGCGTTTTTAATTTGGAAGATACACTACGCTTTACTTTTTTAAAATCAAATATTTTTAAGCTTTTATCAGAAGAATAGAAATTAGAATAAACTTAAAAATTTCCTGCTTCGACTATTTTTAGTGAGTAGGTAAAACTTCAACCTTTTGGAGTAGCTTTATAGCTAGTCTCATGATGTATTAATTAATAGTCCATTTTATTATGGAGAAGGAGCTATAAGTCTTTGTAAAAAAATCAATGTGCCATTAATTCTTTATGGGTTTTTGTATTTTTTTAATGCCACAAGCAGGCATGAAAATATTCATTCGAAAATCAGTCAAGCGGAGCTGCGCTGAATGATATATTACAGTGAATTACCCAATAACTTGTTAAACATATAATATAAACACGACACGTACTTCCTCAGGGTCCTCGAAAGTGTTCTGTTTCAAGAGTTGATAAAAACCAAAATTAAGAGTAACAAATATTTTTATTAATAATGGTTGGAGACGGCTTGAATTGGTAATGAAGAAAAACTTTAAAGAAGTTTAACATAACAGCAAATGTTTGTTTGTTTTTGAATTTCGCGCAAAGCTACACGAGGGCTATCTGCGCTAGCCGTCCCTAACTTTAGCAGTGTAAGACTAGAGGGAAGGCAGCTAGTCATCACCACCCACCGCCAACTCTTGGGCTACTCTTTACCAAC